GCTCCGGTTTCCTCCCATGGTCCAAAAATGTGTAGGTTAGATGGACTGGCCATGCTAAATTGCCCCCTAGTGTCCAAGGATGTGCAGGCTAGGGATATTAGACGTGGGAAATGCGAGATTTTGGGAATAAGGTGGGATTCACTTTGGAATGTTGATGCAGACGTGATGGGTCGAACGGCCTCTATCTGCACCTTAAGGATTCTATGATTCTATGTGCCAGTCCATCATTGTGTTTCATATCTCTTTGTATGGAGAAGTGTGCTTAGCCCTCAACTGCATAGAATGTTGCCTTCTCAGAGGTCAGGACTTGTTTCACTCCTTATGTTACCAACAAAGATCATTGCCAGAAAGAGTCATGAAACCAGTTGCTGGTGCAGTGTGGGTCATTGCGGGAGCCTTCCTAAGAAGGTGAAGGCAAATGCAGGCCTGATATCAAGACCAAAAGCAGCACAGATCCATCGCAGAGGATGAGAGGCACCCAGCTCAACCAGATGATGTTAACGATAGGGCCCCTTCGGTATGTGTGGGGGCCCACAGGAGGAGCAGAGCTTTTGCACACCAAATCTCATTGTTGAAGTTAAGTGAGGCGTGTGTCAGTGCAGGCTTTGTATTTCCCAGGACACTGTGTCCAAGCAGTGCCAGATGCCGGAGTGACGCCTGAGCATTGCAGGAGTGGGAGGCCATCCTTTCCTGGAGGCTGTGAAGGTCACAGCTATTGTGAACATCTCTGTCACTAGCTCCTTTCAAGGTGTGATGGATGACCTGTGTGGCATATCTCTGTCATGTACCCACAAGTATATCAGGATGGTAACCAATACCATCAGTGCATGATTGCATTGGTTCATTTTGTTCCCCTGTAAGAAGGTCAATGCTGAACCCCTGGGCAGTGTGATTCAGGAAGGTTTCCCAAGTCCAGGGTACCATCAGCTATACACACTGAGTGGAGCATATCACAACACTGTGGAATTGATCAATGGGAGGGGGTTCCATTCTACTCATTTTCAAGTGATCTGTGACTGTCTGACTGATGCAGAGCATAGACACAATGCTGCACAGGCTTCATCTAGGCTGTGGTGGAGCCTACAATGGGGCTACTGAAGATGAGGGTCCTGCTGTATTGACTGGTCCAGAAGGGGGTACCTTCAGTATTATCCAGACGCAGTGTACTGCATCCATCGTGTTGTGCTGCTCAATTGGAGCAGGCAACAAGGCAATGCACTGGATACTGAGGAACGGGGGAAATGGGAGTAGCCTTCCAAGGACACTGGGGAGAAGGAAGATCTCCTTGTAAGGATGGAGCTCAGCAGGCTCTGGTACTATAAGTCACACAGCATCTTATTGACAAATCGACAGGTTCCAGTAGAAAAGGCCTGTGCACAGCATACAATTGTAGAATTGTAGAAATAGTCATTGGTCATCATTGGAGAATTTGGTTTGCTTTGTGGAGCACAATACAGCCTCTATTAACTTAATTTGCTGTCTGCAAATAAAATTTCATATTTGAAATTGTCTGATTGTTTGCATATATTTGTTTTTCCCAATTGGACAACGGCAAGGTGTGGGTTTATAGAGGGCATTGGGGACAAAGTAGTAGTGAATTATGGATGGGATGTGGCAAAGGATAGGTCAAGTGTGAGGCCTGGTGGCTTAATAGTGATGAGGTGAGACTATGGATTGTATGTGCAAGACAGACACACAACATTGCAGTTGACTCTTACCTGCCCTCTAAAATGGTCTAGCATGTCATTCAATTCAAGGGCAATTTGGAAATTCCAACAAGCACTGGCCTTGCCAGAGAACTTAAATTCCCTAAAAGAATTTTTTTAAAATGTGGACAGTTAAAGCTCATGTTAGTGTTGTTTAACAAAAGCAACATTGCAATGCAAACAGAAGTAGATTTATATTGGAAAACAAGAAAGGTGTTTACCTTGTTCTCGCTATCATGTTGTTCCTCTATTTTAATATTCTCCTTTAAAGATTTAAACCATTTACTTACCAGCTTTCTGTGTCCTCTTAAGGGGTGGAAGTAATATTGAAAAAAGATCTCCAGCTGAAAACCAGATTTAAAAACTACTCCAGCAATTGAGGCTCATAATTTAGAAGATTACTATGGTCAATTCAAGGCACTATTTTGTGGCATGATTGTCTGATGTGAAATTTTGAGCAGTTATCTTGTCTACTGCTGGCAGCACAATTGTTCCTGATTGGGAAAAACCTTAATACCCCCTCCAAATATCATTTTGTATTCCTACCTTCAACTGTATCCAATATTTCTCAGTTTGGCTTTTCAGGATGTAATGTGTGTGGTCTTTTCTCTGCCTTGTTCATCAAACCAATGTTCGGGACCTTTTCCAGCAGCATAAGTATTATTTCTTGCAATGCTTGAATCCAGCAAAGCCTGTCCTAGCTTTAAGACCTATCAAAAAATACACAAATGACAACTCTATTCCTAGCTATCTCTGTGTTTGGGTTTACTATTCTGAGCTCTTAGATCTAAAATATCAAACACATGAGAAAACTGATAATGTGTAATTACTTGAATCATTCTTTGAAGAACTAGGCCTGTTGAATTCCTGATATTGTTATCACTTGTGTGCATAACTATGATTTTAGCTCATTTGGCTTGGTGGTTGGAATGCCATGTAGTTTCACCAACAGCATGGGTTCAATTCCTGTATCAGCTGAGGTTACCATGCAGGTCTCTTCTCTTCAATCTCACCCTTCACCTGAGGTGTGGTGACCCTCAGGGTAAACCACCAGCAGTCATCCCTCTCTAATGAGACAGCAGCCCTACAGTCCTCAGGAACTATGGCGACTTTCCTTTACTTTATATCCTACAGCAGATCAAGGTGGAAAGATTTTATGTTTTCTACTTCATATAAACAGAGGTACTTGTTTCTCTGAATCTACCCAAATGAATTTCTTTATCATTTTAAATATCTCAATACTGATCATCCCTCAATTTTCTAAACTCAACGTTGTGCAAATGTCCTCAAAGCAAAACCCTGTGAGCCTCAGGATTGCTCCAGTGAATATGCACTTGAACCAATTCATAACCAATATACTTTGGATATAGTGGTGTTGCCATGTGCTTGCTAACATGAGGCACGTAAGAAAAAAAATCACTTAGGGGCAATACCCTCCTGCTTATTATGTATTCTCTTACTTTGTTTGGATTTCCCAAATAATATCATACCTATCAATATTGAATTCTTTTCTGAGTTTGCCAGCATGAAGCTTTTACAATTTTAATAGCCTGATTGTTATCAGTTCTGACAATTGAATATTTCTATCCAGGCTCTCACGGCTTGAAAGCTCCATAAACAACAACATTTTGGCTATGGGTGACTGGATCCTTGGGAGTAAAAGCTTGATTCTCCAGCCAGGAGAAAGTATCTCCCTTCTGAACTGAACACTTGGTGCTTCTGAACTGAGGCTTTGAACTTTCTGAAGTCAAAACTATACCTAGTGACCTTCTGATTTGTTGTAAACTCAGCAGTATAAACATTCCATCCAGTAACAACACAGGAGTTCCCCCAGGCATTTAAGTGCAGTCTCATGTTTTCTTGGAACTAATGCACTTTTGTCACTGTTAACGTGGTCATCAGTGGTATTATTAAGTTTTCCTTGGTGATAGACATTGAAATCCCCCACCCAAAGTGCATTTTATGTCCTTGTTGGCCTTTGTGTTTTTTTCCAAGTGGTATTTAACATGGAGGAGTGCTAGTTGATCTGCTGAGGGAGGGAGGTAAGTGGAAAGCAGCAGGAGGTTTCTCTGATATGATTCCATGTGACTTCATGGAGTCCAGAATATTACCACTGTTCTGCCACTTCTTGTGGGTTTGCTCTGCTAGTGGACACTGTCTGGGCTGACATTCCACAGAGCGGACTTAGAACTCTGCAGCATGCAGGTGAGTCCATATTTCAGTGTTTCTATTCAACTTTCTACCCCCAACTCCCCAATCTTTTCACTTCCATTCCATGCATCCCACACATCCCAGAAAATGCCTTTGAATCTGTTCTGGTTTTTGCTGGAGTCATCCAACTTTCCCATTAATCTCCACCCATTAATGAGAACAAACCAGCCCTGTGTGAAAATGTGGCTAGCCTACTCATGGGTACATCTACTGAAAACAATGTGGGTGTACTTTCTCACAAATAGGATGTGACACATACAAACACTGAATAGTAGATTGTGTTGTAATGAGAGGCAACAATTACTGCTGAGTTTCAGAGCAACTTGATATGTTTTCTCCCAGATAAAATATCTTTGTGGCTCTAACATTTCCACATTAAAATTCCTACACTTTTTCATGCTACTGTTGATCTTTGCCTTTTTTTAGTCGGGAGGTGATGGCCCAGTGGAAGTTAATGTTCTAGGAACCCAGGTTTGATTCCCACTGTGGCAGATGGTGGAATTTAAATTCAACTAAAAAATAATACGGAATTAAAGTTGTAATGTCGACCATGAGACCATTGTCAATTGTCAGGAGAAACCCGTTTATATCCTTTAAGCATGGGAACTACCATCTTTGTCTGGTCTGGCCTACATGTGACTCCAGACTGGTGACTCTTAACAACTGTCTGGGGCAATTAGGGTTGGGCAATAAATGTTGGTTTAGCCAGTAATGCCAACAACTTGTGAGTGCATTTTAAAGAACAGATTCACCATGTCAATGGTTTCTGCCCCTCTGCCAAAGCTGCATCTTTACACCAGCTCCTGGGGGGTACATAACAGGTGACTAGAATAATATTACTGGTAATTTTCCACTGCCCATGAATTAACTGGAATCTTTACCGGATGGCATAGCCCAAATTGAGAATTCACTACGCAAACAATCACGGACACTTATCCACATTATTTCATAGTGCTGCCTACGGATGTGATTTTTATGCTTAAACTGCTAATGTAACTCATTGTGAAAAAATGTTGTTTAGGATGACATCAAGAAAGATACATTGTAATCCTTGGTTTATTTGTTGTTTTTTTTTGGCTGCAGGATGGTGGTTTCAGGCCTGTGGCCCTTCTAACTTGAATGGTATGTATTACTCAGGCGGGATGAACACAATTCGCTTTAATGGGATCAAGTGGCACTACTGGAAAGGTTCACATTATTCCCTCAAGTCCACCACAATGATGATCCGGCCTGTAGCTTTCTGAGCAATGCATCGGCATTGCTTTTCGGAGCAGCTCATGGAATTCACCATCACATGTACAGGATATTGTGCATCCGCCGCATAACCACTGATAAAAGATTTTTTTTTAATTGTTTAGTGCACACTGGTGGGATATAAATATTAAAGGCTTCACCACCACAGCTATAAACATTCAGCCTGCAGTTTGCTACAAAATATTTTTTTTGATAAAAGCTTTGCTGCATTACTTCAGTGGTGAAAAGATTGACAAGGACACTCTCGGCGGAAAGCTAGAAGGAGAATATTAAGTGACTTGCCATTGAACTAGTTCATGAAAAAGAAAATCCCCTTGGGCCTTCTCCTGTTCAACTCGAATGATGCAAAGTATGTGTTGCCCATTGACATAATCTAGATTCAGGGCAAAGTATATCTGAAAGTCTTCATTCTTTGTCAGCTGCCTTCAATGCTGTCTTCAATACATCAAGCTTCACATCTACTTTCTCCTTCAGTAGCTTCTGAGGCATATGACCATTGCAAAAGCAAACAATAGTGTGAAGGTAACATGTTTAATTATTTAACGTAAAGAAAGTATCTTGTTGTGCTTCCCCAGTAAATTCTTTGAGAGAAGAGAGATCATTGCATATTTACATCATTATGTTTACCTGTCTATTGGTCTTCCATATTTTTGAGGACAGCCTGTTTCTGGGTAGGCTAAGTTACTACGGCAGCCAACATATACAGTCTGTTCCAAAAAAAACTCCAATTGTTTGTTGGCTATTACTGCCTATTTGCATTCTAACAGATGTTCTATTTTCTGCATGCCCAGCTGTTTGTATCACTGCGCTTTTGACATCTTTGTTTTTTTTTTCATTATAGTGATGATTAAATCTGCTGTATGTGGAAAGCCTGATGCCAGACCTCTGTATAAAAACATGGTTAAATATCTTTCAGTGCATGAAGCCTTGGTCACTTTATTCTTTTGCAATGAGTCTCTGTTGGACAATTTACTGTGAAAGCTTCTACTGCATGTATTGGTACTGAGGAAGCCTATCTAGTTCAACTGCGGTCCCGTTTTGAGAGATCATTGCTTTTGCAGTGCACAGCTGGTTCTAAAATTGGTAATTGTGCCTCTGACAATTACTCGTTGCTCCTCACATTCTCATCAATCAAAAAGCCAAAAACTGGGGGAAAGGGCGAAGGTTATTATCATGATCAAAATATGGAATGAAATTCAAACTTTCCCAAAAAAATTTGGTTTCACTTGGGATGGTTGCATCTGGCTACACTCTCTTAAATCATTTAACTTTTGCTTGCATACCAGCCCCTTTATTGTTGCAACAAATGTGGGCCACCTGTGGTTTTAGTATAGTACTGTGAATGTGGAAAATACATAATTTTGACCGCTTAAGAGCACACAAATTCTGAATCGTCCTAAGTAGCAAATCAAAATAATGCTCATAAGACACTAAAGGCGAACAAGTACCTTTTGTAAGAGAGAAGGAACAAACATTGCATGAGATCCAAGATCTTTTGATTTTATTCTTTTGGTCAGTAAAAGTAAAAACAAACCTATTTCTTCCATAGATAGTAGGAACTGTAGATGCTGGAGAATCTGAGATAACAAGGTGTAGAGCTGGATAAACACAGCAGGCCAAGCAGCATCAGAGGAGCAGGAAAGCTGATGTTTCGGGCCTAGACCCTTCTTCAGAAATG